AGAAATGGCCATTCCGGTCTCCCTTGTCTTTGTCGGTATCATCTTCTCAACATATATATATATATATATATATATATATATATATATATAGCAACGAAAGCGGGCGAGTTAATTGAGAAATAAACAAAGACAACTCTCAATAAATAACAGGTAACTGAAAAATCGGCCGCCTGCAAATCTGCGACAGCCCAGGAACCGCTGTAACGAACAACCAATAGGAGGGAAGAACTGTGGTGCCAAATATTGTGACTGTAGAAATTTACTGCTAATTGCCCTGCTGCACGTGAACATTAAAGAATTCACGAAAATGCAACCCAATGAGAAATAAGAAAAAGTCAAATAGCGTAAGTATGGATGTCTGTTTATATCTTCATAATAAGTTAACTGACTACTGTAAAATAAAAATTTCAATAGAAGATTTATGTGCAAAGGTCAAGTAAAATGATGAAATGCATTTATGAACAGAGCATGTAATAACGGTTTTTTTCCTTCTAAAATACAGACCATCAGCCCCAGGTGGCATAATAGTCAGACAATCGTAGCTTTAGTTTCTGACCAAAGCGGAGGGAGTAACCGAAGCTGCAAATTCAGTGGTAGAATACTGCCAGACAAGGGAACAGCTATCTAGTGGCAAAATGCAAATGTGTTAGGCTGCACACCGACGGATATGTATTCCGGTGCGGCCGATGTTGAAGGAGGAAAGCTCTATGGGCTCCGGTGTCGCGCCAAGTAAGTAAGCCATGGCGTACGCGTTTGACAACAGAAACCGTTTGGAAGTTGGGTGTTGGTGTCCTAGCCGATCCAACGCAAGCCAAAACGCAGTCAAAGACCCTTTCTGCAGGCGTTGTATGGTGAGTGCCGTCATGACATAAAAAGGTATAGTTACCCCTTCGGAAGAAACGGATTACGGGGAGCGGGGGCGAAACCCAAAGGCAGCTAACATCATGCCAGATAATTCGTCACCAAAAATTATCAAACTGAAAAAAACGGTCCTGGATGTCATATCAGTGTACTAGGTAAAACTCCAAGGGTGACTTCCAGTGGCTTTGAATTGGTAGACTAAACAAGGCCTACTAAAACAAATATGGTAGTTAGTCAAACACATTAAACCTAGCAGGGTTACACAACCTATCCTTGCCTAGACCCGTCCACTCGTGCCACACACGTCTGGTCTGCGTACGAAAGACTAGGTTTTCACACAGACAGGGGATATTCGGTTCGGATCTCATCTGAGTGGAAGTGCCATAGAGGCCACATCCAGAAGAAGCCATTACAACCTAACCCTCCGTTCTACGGAGGACCGAGTTACACTGCCAGTTAGTGGTCTTCCAAGGAACGGATTCTAGTGAGCCGTGGTAGCTTAAGAGGGCGTCAGATTGTTTATAGTTAGGAAATGCACTGGAGTGCCGTGGGGACGCAGTCCCCAAAGTCGACCTCACTCTCTTCTCCCGGGCACCGGCCTATCGTTGGAGCCAGTTAGCCATCTGATGCAGGGGTTGGGTACAGATGGTTGGCGCGACGCGAGCCCGCGCCTAGGCGTGCCATCACTCCTCAACATCTGCGGCATTTGTTATGAGTATGCAGTCCAAATAACGCGTGCCGTATCCTAGCCAGGCCCTCGTGTTGATACAAAGCACCTCCCGCGTGGTCTGTTGGGGAGGGGGGGGGGCATACACGTGTGTCCTGACGATCGCGGCCGGCAGGGAAGAGGCATGTGGCTCCGGCGGAAGAGCGCGCAACCGACACTGTTACTCGTAAAGTAATCCGGTCAAAGTAAGTGGCGGGGCATACACGCAGGCTAGGAGTTTACTTATTTTAGGACGGCTACAGCTACGCCTAAACGAGGAAGACCGAGTAGCGGGTACGAAAAGGATAATGAGAGGGGAGGAGGAGGAGGAGGAGGAGGAGGAGGAGGAGGAGGAGAGGGGGGAGTCACTAAGTACTGATAATAGACAAAAACAACCTTGAAGTAGGACAAAAGCCAGAACCCACAGGAGGACATGCTGCGGCGACCAAAGGGTCCATCGCGAGGTATTGGGTAGGAAGGCAGGTCCAGGGGAGCAGGAGCTGGCGGGGGACACATAAGGAGGTAAGGCAGCATGGAGGGCGGCGCCAGGTTCGACTGATGGCGTCGAAACTCTTGATCACCGAGCAGGCCAGAGGCATGCAACCTCTGGAGCACATCTGTGCATTCAAATGACCTTGTGTTTGGATGCAGCATACGCCAGACACCAATGCCCGCGGCCCAGACGGATTTTCGCATCATAGGGCTGCCGGTGGCTGCTGTGCGGACGGCTGAAGGTTGAGGCGCCTCACTGCCGTGTGACTGTTCAAGAGCATGACGCCAGAGGCAAGGTGGTCGTGGCGGGGCGGAGTGCCAGGGTTCGCAACTGTGTGGGGATATTGTGAAGTAAAATTTGGATGCATCTCACGATATGGAGAGGTAGGCAAGAAAAGCGGCGGGTGCGGATACCTGGTTCACTAAAACTGGGGGGATATGGATTTAAGACCCTCGCATAAAAAGATGAGGGCGGTGGACGGTGAAAGAAACGGAGGGCACAGAATTTTAGATGACCACTCATGAAACACTCCGGGACCGGAGGACTGAAAGCGGGTTTAAAATACGAAACATGAGCAATAATA